GCCGTACTTTTCATGTGCCGAACCTAACTGAACAAGTTCGACTTTGGAGCGACACTGGCGCGACATCTGATTCAGACGGCGTACCGTGTGTCGAACCTAAGTTAAGTTCGACAAAAGTTCGACAGACTCTGTCGAACTTAACGCTTTTGCCGCATCAAACTAAAACTGCCGTACCAAATTGATCAGTTAGGTTCGGCACATGAGTGTAGTGGCGTCTGAACCGGGCCTAATATATCACAGAAGACGTCAATGCAAAATGTGGTAAAAACATCAGTGACACACGCGTCTGCAGCTCGTGTGCCACTTCTTTGTTTTTACCACATTTTGACATCATCCGTGACCTATTACTGAACAGACCTATGGCAACATGGAATCTATGAATTATTTTGTGAAACTTTTCTCCGAAGCAGCCGTTACGCGCATGTCACGTGTCATCAGTTCGCCTCCAACAATCTGAATGCTCCAGTCTTAAGCAAGCCAGCGCCCTTGTTGATTCCACTGTTCGAAGTAATTTCGCTCAGTGACTTCAGTCCAGTATGAGCGGGAGTCTGACAAGCTGGGTTGTCTTCTTGCTTCTAGTTTCGACAGTTTCTCCGATCAAAGGTTAGTAATTATAAACGCGCCTCGAAAAATAGAATAGCACACGAAACATGAAAAGTTCGGCGTCTAAACTGGGCCTACGGTACAAGTTAAGTGTAGCGACAGCAGTCTCTAGAGTTAAAGGAAAATGATTTTGCATTGTCTTACTAAAAACTGAAAGTTTAGCTCTCAGTGTCTAAGTGATAAATGTTTCTTTCTTGGTGACTGATTTATTTTTCTTCATTTAGTAGAACTAAAATTTTCCATTATCGCACAACTAATTTTAATTGCGGGCCTACAATAAGCTTGAACTAAGGGCCATGACAGCCAAAACAATTACCACATCGCATTCGATAGAGCTCGATAGTGACTTTTTGAATAAACATTGATAGCTTTTCTACGTAAATTAAAGATTGGAATAAACCTTATTTACTTCAAATTTATTGCGATAACGTCTGTTACTGCCTTAAATAAGGAAACATAACAAGCAAGGTAGTCCTAAATTTGATAAATTCTAATTTGAACGGTTCGTTTTACTTTTAGCCTGCAGCTTAAATATTCAGTTCGTAAAGTGTCCGAGAAAACTTTGCCTTTGATGCTTTGCACCCATCGTACGCAAATTAGAATTATGATTTCTTGATCAGCAAATTATCTGGGCTTCTAAAAGAGTGGAAACTGGGCTGTTTCCTAAGTAAATCAGGTTTAAATCTTTAAAAGTATTCCTTACGTAACTCGACACTGAACGCTTTCGCGGTTTCCGAGAAATCATGCATGCTGCACGAGTGGTTTCTTGGAAAGCTCAGCTGGATACAACAAAATAAACGATAGAAGACAACGACATTATCTAAAACCGCTATCCTTTCATTTGTTTTGTTTTGTTACCTTTCCAACCTGAATGAATCTCTACTCGCAATGCAACCGTCGATGTCATATAATTTCTTTGGGTTACTGCTGGGAACTGTTATCAAATGGACGCTCTCCGGAACGACTGCCAAAACTCTTGTTCTAGTTTTATCCTGACCTGTGTGAAGTGGGGGGTATGGGCTTATGCTTTATCCTTTTTCTGAGTTTAAGTTACAATTGAAGAAGGAAATTTTTTTGTCTTATTCGATGATAATTTATTTAAATACATGCTGAAGTAAGCCAAACAAACCGCCCAGCGTTGCTGTTGCACCGGTTGACTAACTCTACCTCGCCGTTCGCAACTTTTAAAAATACGCAAAAGAAATAACAGGCCTAGGGAATGTGTCCTCCTGAACTGTTAGAATACTACTTTAGACCACATTTCAGCAACGGCAACGATTATTCCTTCTTTTTTTTTCCTCGTCAACTCAACCGCCATGACAGTTAGGGCATACTTTGTTTTAATCTAAAATTGGTTTGACGTTTTCACTTCCATGATGTTCCCATTACTGATTTACTTGTTTAACTGAAAAACTTCATCCTCCTTTCTATACCTTTAGTCGACCATAGGTCAAGAGAAAAGCCAGTGCTTTTCATAGCATTTCACTGAATACACCAGGAGAGCCCATGGATAATTTTTTATTTGGCGCACTCTTTAGAAGTTCTTGATCTCTTTCGTTTTCTCTTTCGTTCTTTGCTGTTGTTTATTTTCTTTAACCAATAAACAATTTTATATCTATTTCATGTTATTTATTCATTATTGATTTTTTTTTTCTTTTGATTCATAGCCGCAGGACTGTTCACCGCTGCCGGCGTAACAGCGGGTTGGGCAGCTGCAGCGGCAGCTGTCCAGTCTACAGTATACGAAGAAGCAGTTGGTTCTGACACTGTAATCGCATGGTTGCAGAGTGCAAGAGAAGACAAGGAAAGTAAAAGCGACTGTTGGTGCTTAAATGACTACAAGTTTGGTATAGCAGTAGGAGTAGGAGTTGTGCTAACAGCTCCCATTTTTCTGAATGCCGCAGGATTCACCGCTGCCGGCGTAACAGCGGGTTCGGCAGCTGCAGGTGTCCAGTCTACAGTCTACGGAGCAACAGTTGGTGCTGGCAGTGTATTCGCAGGGCTCCAGAGTGCAGGAGCCGCTGGAATTGGCCTGATGACAAACGTGGGCATAGGTACCACTGCAGGGGCGACGGCGACATATTTGAAAAAAGCATTCTACCCATGTAACTCGGAGTGCACATCAGATAGCAAGGAGTGAATCACCCGTGGATTTCGTTTGATTTTGTTTGTTTGTTTTGTGTAAAAAAAAAAAACCTGAAGCGCGTGAAAACATGAAGCAAAGACTCTGGATCTTCTCTTTTTTATGACACATTTTAACCAACCATGCATAATTTTTGGAAAAAAGTAACACTTCACTGGACAGCTTAAATACACTTTTTTAATTACTTGAGAACCGTCCGGTTTGTTCAAATACCTTTCGATATTAATATACATTAGTTAGTGCAGCTACAAATGAATAATCTTTGATTAAAATGAAAAAAATGTATTCTTAAATAGACACTAGGCCAGTTATTTAAACGAGGTTTAGCCGGTGTTCAGCAAAACCGCGTTCTAAGCCATTTTTAGCTTAATTGCTGAACGCTTTTATTTAAACGGCATTTATCGTGAACAGTTTATGAAAGCACATGGCGTAGACTAGAACAGCATTTGTCTTCTTTAAATAAACCCTTTAAGAAAGATATCTGAAGGTCCGAAGATTTCCTAAACCGCGATCTAAGTTAGATTTCGTTTAAATAACCGATCTACTGTGTTCAACAAGTGTTTAATCGTATTTTGAACATTTTGAAAACTGCATTGTCTCATTTTATTAAGCTAACATTAAAACAAGAAAACTCTTTGTTAAAATCTTTAGTTTTGCATGCATGTTCTTGTATCACACTTCTTCCCCATTCCAGTTTGTCCATGGAAAGCTTCGGGTCCACCACCAACACGGTGCTTATACCCGTGAACCAACTTGATAGAGTTTTTTTCGGTTTATTTTTCTCTATCTCTTTCATGAAAAATCTGGGCTTTTAAGCAGGAAATGTTTTTATATGGTTTGCACTGAAAGAGGTCACTTTTATTAGCGCGCTCTATCTAATTCTGGAGTCTAAAGATCGTTTTATGAGGAACAAGCCGCAATACCAGTAGGTTGAAGGTCCAAACATTTGCGTGACTTGCTCCGGGGTCAGTTTATTTCCTTTTTCTGCTCCTTTGTCTGAACAAGCTTCCTCCGGTTGGAAAGGACAAAATCTTGCTTTACAAACAAACACGTCACGTTTCGAACAAACCCTCATAAAAAAACAAAACAAAACAAAAAAACAATTGTATCTCCCATTAAATACCACGAGGTAATGCTCTAGGTAACAATTATCTAGATGATCTTGTTCATCTTGCGTTTTATTGCTTCTACAGCAAAGCCGATGAATGTTAGGTATTTTGTACAAGAATGAGATATATTTTGTATATAGACCTGTAGAATATTGCAGACTTTTCGAAAACCAAAAAGTGAGAGCTTTTCCGCTATCAATGGTAAATTTGTAATAGCCGATTACAGGGATATTCTCTATTTCGGGACGCAGATTTTTGTGGGCGAACGTTTACAACACTGACGCGAGATTACCCTCGCCCCGACGAATTGCCCCCTAGATATCCGATGATATCGCGAACCTAATCCACTACTAATACAAACTTAAACAGTTCCAGTTTCTCTTCTAGCTATCTAATATTAAGAAACACGCTGTCGCATAAAACAATGACCACCTGGTGCTTGAAATTACAGAAGACAACAGAGGATATAAGGAACAAGGAACACTTATAAGGAGAGAAAGAAAAATGGGTATACACCCTACATGGAAATATATTTTGACTTAAAATGTGCTTGATTATACATTTCCCCTATTTTCTACAGCCTCCACTAATACCTCAATCATAGTGCAATTACCCTTATTCGTTACGCGAGATGGGCGAATTTCACCACCAAGCCTCGCTTTAAAATTGAAAAGTTGCGAAGTTTTGTGTTAATGAATTCCCAAGGCAGTTAGAATTCCCACTTGCAAAAAGAGCAAATGCGAAGAATGTTGCTGACAAATGAGGCTTGTGAAATTTACTAGTCTGAGCAGGAGCCGATCGGCTCCTGGTCTGAGGTAATCATGCATAGGGAACCACTGCGACCCTTTCGTTCATATCCTTACTTAATACTTGAGGCCTGGGGCAATACTTATACTCAGCCTCGTTCCCAGTCGTCCTCGGCGATTTCGGATGTGACGTCACCTGTCGCACTCCGTTCCAAGCTTCCTTTAGTAACTCGGATAAAGCGAACTGGCCTGGGTACGAGATTGACCTATGCTTACGCTGCTGACAAAATTAGCCAACCAATAAGATCATGCCAGCTCGCAAGTTTCAAGATCAACAAGCAACATTCCGCTCAAACGTTTTAAGGAGCTGCAAGCCTAAATCAATATTTTGGGGAAAAAATGGATAAAAAGTCAGTTTTTTGTATTTGTCTCATGCTTCTAAGTATGTACCAAGTCGAAGTAAAAGGTGAGATTAATTTTAACAGCTTACGTTCGGTCAAATTGCATTTTTTGCTTACTTAATTATCGATGCAGCCGAGCGATTTTACACATGAACGGACAGACAACTGATAGTATTTTCTCCTTAACAAACGTCAGTGGAACAATGATTTTGACTAGGTTGACTTTTGGACAGGAAGTATTGAACTTCTATGTGTTCAGGAGATTGTGATTCCAGGGTTTCGAATCTTCTCTATAGAATCAATATAATGCTTAGTCAGGAATTTGCTCCTTTCGGTACACAATATGAAAACAACACAGAATAATCGAGGGTAGCAAAACAGATAGAACTCTTAAAAGTATAGTAAACCACTTCACCACTTCCGGCACTCACGAGCTAGTAAAATGTTTGCATTTCTGTTAATCTGCATTTCTCACAGGATAAGATCAGTGGCTTTCTCAGTCAAAACTATCGGATGTAAGAAGTAAGGTAACATCATGCATTCCCCAGTGCTGTATTTGCTTTGTCCCTAAAGATTAATCGCTCGTTTCTCGGAAAAGAATCTCGAATTCTCGGAAAAGACAGCCCTGAGAGATGACAAAAACGCAAACAAATCATCTTTTGGCGTTTCTCTTTGTCTAGTTGATGCCACCTATGCAATTTTATATTCTTTTTGAAGCTAAACGGAAAGGAATTTTTACTTCCGATCTTTGCCTAATTTGTCATTAATCAATTTTGACAAGAGCCAAATTATTCTAAAATGAATTTTGTTGACTTCAATGGTAGCTGAGTTTTTCTTTATCTTTTCATTTTTTTTTGATGATCTTACGTCCACGCAAGCATGCGCAAATTGTTTGGTGATACTGAAGTTGTTTTTACATACGGATTTTCACGCTAAGAACGAGACCGGTAAATTCATATCCGTCATCCGTATGGTTCGATTCACTCGACTCTTAATTTGTCACACAATCAAATTAAAGCCTTCGCCCTCCGAGTTTACCGCACCTTGTGAATTGCTTTTTAGCTCTGTTTTCATTGTCATTAAGACCAAGACTAAAACAACGAACAACGTTTCTTCAAGGTTGTGTAAGAGCTGCATTTTAAAGTGACTGGACAACTGAGTATTTTACCTGAGCTCATGCAACAAACCTACCGTTTCACAAAAACGTATTAAAAGACAAGGGTTTTTTTTTTAGATGTTTGATATTCTTAATGTTCTTGTTCATTTCTGAAGAAAGTAAAGTAGAGGGTAGCTAGAAGCCTAAAGACAACATCAACAACTCGTGTTAAGCTAGCTTGCTCATGCAGGCTATAATAATAATAAAAAAATCACAGGACTAGTCATGAAAACTCGCATTCTGTATATTTAGATTTTGTCCCTTGGCGAGAAATAGAGAATATTACACGGTGGCGAGAAGATATGAATTTTATGTTCGAGTGGCAAGAACAATATCTCACGAGTGAGCGCAGCGAACGAGTGAGATATTGCTCTTGCCACGAGAACATAAAATTCATATCTTCGAGCTAACGTGTAATATTCTTTTTATTATATAAACATACTAATGACGGCGTTTTTGATGATTTTCCGAAGATTTCCGACCACCTTTCGAAGATTTCCGAAGATTTTTCAAATTGTCCCGAAGACCAGACGAACGTTCCCGAACATTTTCCGAGAATTTCCGAAAATTTCCGAAGATGTCCGAAGATTTCCGAAGATTGCCGAGCACTTTTGAGGAAGACCCGAAGATGTTTCGATGATACACCAACGAATTTAGGTACAATTTAAGAGACAAACCTGATGTCAGTGAAATTATCGATATCTTCACATGTAAAAATATCGTATTTTTACGTGTGTTCAGATACCACATTTCTCGGTGATAGAAATCCTTGTAAAACACTGCAGTTTATATAATAATTTTATTTATCACTCGATGCAATACAAATAACTAACTGCCCACAAATAATGGTCTGCTCATGCACAATGGCGTCCAACTGCGTTAAGCTGCAAATAATATTCTGCTCTTGCGTAAATGAAACCTCTCTTTTCTTCTTCTTGCGATCGCTTGGCGTGAAAATGCGCTTACCACACTTCCCGAAGATGATCATTGAAAAAAAAAAAAACTCCGTGACCGGATGATAAAACAATTTTGAACTCGATTTTATCGCAAAATATCCTGATCTGTCCGAAGGCTGAGGGAAATAATTGATCTACTCGCCACTGACAAATCACGATATTTTGATAACCTCTTCCAATAATGATTAATTATGTACTAATTTTTATTTAATCTTTTTTAATTCACTACGGCTCATTTTGAAACCTCCGTTTCCTGCGATACATATCAGGAGAGGACAGTGACAGCGATGGAAAAGGCTGGTGCTTCTTTGAGTACGTCATTGGTGCAGTGGTGTTCGTTTTAGTTGTTGTTGCAGTTCCTTATGTCATTGGCGCCGTTGGGTTCACACCTGCCGGAATAGCAGCGTTGTCGATTGCTGCATATGTTCAGTCCGTCTTCTATGGAGCAGTAGTTGGACCAGGTTCTCTTTTTGCGTTTCTCCAGAGTGCTGGAGTCGTTGGACTTGGCTGGCTGTCAAAACTGTTTTTAGGTTCCACTTTTGGGTGGCTGGCAACATATTTGCCAAACATGGTCTATCGTCTGCTTTATGGGGAACAGGAGTGAATATAAGAAGACAACTGAAGAGGTGGCTTAGACAATCTTTCTTGTAAAATATCACAAACTAGTATTTCATCAAAGTCGCAGCATACAGGAACCCTTCAGAGTTTTTCTTTTCTTTTCTTTTCCTTCTTTCTTCTTTTTTTTTTCAGTCGAAATGGCAAATCTACATCTTACATTAATTATTAGCTTTTGCAGGAATTATAATTCTTGCAATGTGTCAAGTTTCTTGTTTTTTTTTTTTGGAAACAAAAAACGCGATTCGGGAAAGCAATGGAAAAAGTGCTCAGGGATGCAGGATTTTCGTAGGAGCGGGATTGCGGGAACAAAACACCCCTTTCAGACCCCTGTTGTTGACTCTACGAAGCTTCATGCATTTGTAGTTGGACGTACAGTGACTGTTTCGGTTGAATAACACCAAAAAATGGAGTAATGAAGTTGTCATCATGTAGTCCATATGAACAGTACCGTGTAGATTAGGCAACCGTCTTTCGAAGACTAAAAGTCATGGTATTCGCGACGGTGTTTGACCTTAAACTGCTAAAACGCCCAGCATCCAGATGATTTCCCATGACAGCAAAAACTCTAGCCTGCATGCGAAAACAAATGTCTCTACTCTAGCTCTGCTCGCCTAACATAAACTCGACACAAACCATCAATCTCGACAGAGAGACGACATAGAAATAAACCCCAAAAAATTAAAAAAGTACGGAGCTTTGTATCATAGTTATTTAGTTTATTAACCTGCGAATAAAGCCCTTTCGTCTCGCTCCTTGCTCTCCCCCGCGAAACGTTGTCTTTACCACGGGCGTCCCAAACTCAATATGTGCGCGCATGTTAATGCTAACATTGTGTAACATAGCGTTTTATAGGGTTATATGCATGAGAATAATAAAAATAGAAATAGAAAAAATATCGCCTTATATATATCTTAGCTTATCATGTAGCAAAGAATTACAATAAACTTACTTTTGCTGTATTTTGTCTTCCTGTGTCGTTTTGAAACGTCTCGGGCTGGTTTTGCTATCCTGTCTTAACCTTCTAATAAGGTGACATTATGAACAGAAGCTAAAAGGAGGCCAGAAAATGCTAATTCGATTTTCTGTTTATTTAACCAGCTTCACAACTTTTTCCAACAAATCGAGATTATTTCCGAGAAAAAAGGGAGTAATATAATCGTGCGAAGATTAGGCTTAGCTACGATAATCCTGAAAAATACCTAAAAATCTATTCCGGATAATACCATGAGGTGATGCTCTAGGTAACAATTATCATGTAGGATGATGTTGGTCATCTTGCGTTTTACTTTTTCTACAACAAAGTCAATGAATGCTAGGAGTCGAAAACCATGTAGTGAGAGATTTTTGGATGTTACTAAAACGAGGAACGGGGAGCGGGGAGCGGGGAGCGGGGAACGGGGAACGGAAGTCTGGGAACAAGTTGTCAGCGGAAACCTCCATAAAAATCCAAAATGGCCGGTAAGGATCAAGAACCCGGTAAGATCGATGATAGATAAGATGATAGAGACGCGTCGAAACAACACTTAAGGTCGCTATTTTACTAATGAACTATATGCTCATGAGGTGCTTGAAATAATACGGAGGTAATAATTTCATGACATTTCTCACCTTTTTGCGTTTTACTAAACAACAAAATATGCTCCAACAGCAGTTGAAAGAAGCTACAGTCGGGACAAAGACTCTCAAAGCACAGCCATATTTGGAACTCAAGCGAATCTATACTGGGTCTAACTCACAAAGCAATGAATTACTTTTGCTTGACGCTTTTCGTAGGGTTTTGGCTTAAATACATGGTGAAAGATAACGTAGATCGAAGCAGCCAGGTGTATTTCCTCGACAGTAATAGTGTAGCAGTGGAGCTCCTTCCTAGCTGTAGCGTTTTTTCAAGCCCAAATTAAAACATGTTGACGATGAGATAAAACTGTAAGTCTAATAATATTATATTTACAAACCTATGATGAGAAGTAAGTGCAATTGTACTATTTGAAAAGATAAGATGGATCAGGTTATTTAATACATCAATAAAAGGCAACTTTAAACATATTAACGGGCAATGTGCCAGGAACATCAATCATACCTTGGTCTTAAAGATGTCAGTTGTTTCAAAGCAAATGGCCATGCTGTGGTTTTATTTTATTATAACCTAGGTTTAAATTTTGCTTCCCTTTGTTTGGAGTACGGTAATATGAATTTTATCATTACGAGTTCAAAACAAAGAGAATAAAATTCAAACTTAGGATAAAAGTGAACCACAACTGAGCTGCAATAATAAGTGTTGCAAGTATACGTGGGGGAAGGACTTTAAAGTCTTTGGTTGGAAGGTACTTTCTAAAGGCTAGCTGTTAAAATATGCATGGTAAGTATACTTCCTCTGTTTAGCCCTCTGGATGCTTTTTTTTTTTCTAGGGGGGGAGCTCTGCTTCTCTTTAATGAACATTACTTTTACTGTGGAGAAAAATATTTCAAGCTCAGTGTAAAACTGAATATCAGTGACTTAAACCAGTTAATATTGTCAAGCTGCTTTATTGGCTTGACTCAGTAATATTGCAGTGCACCTACCATCAAGCATCGCATCATCAATGTTGCAGAGGTTGGCAGCTTATTAGAAGGTGGTTGATAAGTCTTCAAGCAAGCTGTCTGTAGTTTTGGAAATAAAGAGTCTAAGGTCTCACACAAGTGATGGGAGGCAAAAGATTGGATTGCCGATATGTTTTTCAGTAAACACGCACAACTGTATGTGTATAGTGGCCACATTACGCTTACGCAATGCATGTAAAATAACACAATAGATCTTGCTACCCATTTTCCCTGATTTTATTTCCCCTCCAGGGGACATAATTTCTTTTAACATATTGGGGTCTTTAATTCATTTAATGAAGCCCAGTATCGAAGAAATTAAAGAGAAGAATCAGACTAGAGTAAGAGTAACCCAGAGGGGAGGAGGGGGGGGGGGTACCCACCAAAGAGGCTCTGCCCCAGGGACCAACCCTTTACCCTTTGTATGTACCATTTTAGACAGAAAACGTACCCCTTTTGTTTACCCTCTAGTGACAAATGGTACCCCTTTCACATACCTAATTTTGAACGCTGCATCCCTTTTTAACTGCTGTAAATACACCATCTTTACAATATGAATAAATAGCTAAAACAGGTTTTCTTGTCTCTCACATCCATAAAATGCATCTGTGACTGATCTCATTTTGGTCCCTTTCATATACTTCAACTATAAAAACCCCTTCCCTTTCATGTACCTGAAGCCTGAAAAAGGCTTCAGGCTCTGTTTAGGCCATTATAGTACCCCCTCCTCCTGCACCGAGAACAGTACTTGATACAGCGATATTGTATGGTATGAATTGCACCAAACGTTTCGTGCCCATGAAGAGGTACTTTGATTATTTTACGACATTTTTCTTCAAAAGGGAGGGGTTTGGGATCTCATTCTTAGGGGGGCGGGGGGTTAATTGAGGATCTGCAGTGAGTGAGAATGTTGCATTCAATGTAATCCAATGGTTTTTATTCAGGAAAGGGTCGTCAGGGGTATTTCGCAGAGAGACAAATGGCCACTGTACGACTTTGAAGCAGTTACTGAGTAGGGTGAGGAAAATGAGTGAATTAGGTTCCATTAGGGTCATTATACTGGTCTACACAGGGCAAACTGACCTGAAACAAATTGTTTCACAAAATAATAAAATGATATTATTTTATTTTCATGGATCAGTAAAACACTTCAATATCGTGAATGCTTGCAGTGTAGTAGATCTAAAAATATTAAAAGCAGAACCAGATTGTTAAAGTAGTCTTACTAATTATGTGATGACGTCGTCAATAACATTTTTCAAAGCAGTCATCTCTATCAAAGGAAATAGAAGAAGTCTGCACACAAGCTACTTGACTACTTCGATGTATGTTATCTATCATGGAAAAGTAGTTCATTGCTTTGTGGGCTAGACTCAGTATAGATTCGCTTGAGTTCCAAATATGGCTGTGCTTTGAGTTGTCGTCCCGATTGGCTTCTTTCAACTGCTGTTGGAGCATATTTTGTTTCCTAGGGATAATTGTTTAGTAAAACGCAAAAAGGTGAAAAACGTCATGAAGTTATTACCTCCGTATTATTTCAAGCACCTCATGAGCATATAGTTCAAGTAAAATAACGCCGTTATCGGTTAAGTTTGTTTCGACGGTTCTCTATCATCGATCATCGGCCATATTAGATTTTTATGGAGGTTTCCGCTGACAACTCGTTCCCAGACTTCCGTTCCCCGTTCCCCGTTCCCCGCTCCCCGTTCCCCGTTTTAGTAACATCCAGTTTTTTTGCGATATCAATGATAATGTTGTAGTAGCTGCTTACAGAGGGTCTCAACAACTCACTTTGACTATGAAGATGACTACACCGAACAGGTTGTCGAAACGTCAGCCACAGTCAACAACATACATTTGCTGTAATTTTAGCCTCGATAACTCGAACCTCCCGCTAACTCGAAATGATGATTGTTCTTCAGGTCTTTTTTATAAAATTTTACCCTCGATAACTCGAACCATTGAAAAAGCTCGTGACAAGTCCAGAAGAAAAAAAACGTGTACTGAAGTCCTATAGCCTGAATTTTATCTGATTACTTCAAGTTGTTATCACTCCCTCGGTAACGCGTTGTTGAGAGGAGAAAAGGACTCGAAGCAGTCGGATGAAATTCAGGCTACTGACGTCCGAGACCTTAAATTTATTTCAAAGCAACTGTGTCCATTCTTTGTCTTCGTTTTTGTCACTCCAGTTGAAATTCAGGCTGCGTTTCTTTACCAAAATCCAAATCCGGATTTTTAATCCGAAAACGGATATATCGTTTCTTTACTAAAATCGAAAAACGGATTGTTGATCCAAATGATCTACAACGGAGGTGGATTCTGCGGATCATATCCAAAAACCGAATACTTTGGATACATGATCCGAAACGTTTCTTTACTAAGGATCCGAAAAGAGTGAATACAGACAGC